ATGGGATTGATGCTGGGTGAATAAAAAGTGGAGGTATAATTGTCTTCAGAACTCTGATTCAAAATATTTCAGTAATATTTATTTAGTTTTCCTCATCTCTTCCTAACTTTCTTTTGAACTACAACTTCTATTACTTCGTTGATTAATGTAGAAAAGAGCTTGGTTCCAGGTTTATCAGTTGTATGGTTCAGTCACAAACTTAACTCTTCCTTTATCCCTAAAGGTTTGTTGTTCTTTGGTTAAAGTAGAGTTTCAACCTTTTCTTGTTCAAGTCCCGAAATTTTGCCAAGAAACTAAGAGCCATTAAAACAAAAATTCTCTTGGTAAGTTGACCTTTTTGAAAATCTCCACCCCTGGAAGGAGATTTTAGTTTTTTATTGTTTTTTTTTTAAATCCTCACCTGAGGATGTGTTCATTGATTTGAGAGAGAGAGAGGAGGGGGCAGGTAGAGAGACAGATGAAAAAGCATGTGAGAGCAACATTGGTTGCCTCCTGTGTGCGCCCTGACTGGAGATCAAACCTGCAACCTTTTGGTGTTTGGGACANAGAGCAACATTGGTTGCCTCCTGTATGCGCCCTGACTGGAGATCAAACCTGCAACCTTTTGGTGTTTGGGACAATATGCCAACCAGCTGAGTCACCCGGGCTGGGGGATAAGTTTGTCTTATGAGACTTTTAAAAAATTGTTGTTAAATGTATATTTACACATGCACATATATGTACAAAACATAAAATATGCCATGTTGACTATTTTATGTGTATAATTCAATGCATTAGTTACAATCACATTGTTGTGTGTTGTGCAAGCATCACCATGGCCTGTTTCCAAAAGGTAGGTTCCATAACTCCAATCCCTGGTAACCTCTAATCTACTATCTTTCTTTAGGAACTCGCCTATTCTAGATATTTCATATGACTGTAATCATATAATATTTGTCCTTTTGTGACTGGCCTATTGCACTTAGCATAATGCTTCAGGGCTTATCCATGTTGTAGCATGTGTCAGAACTCCAGTCCATTTTATGACTAATATTCCATTGTATGTATATATCACACTTGGTTAATACATTCATCTCTTGATGGACCCCTGTGTTGTTTCCACTTTTTGGCTATTGGGAATAATGCTGCAGTGAACATTGGGGTGCAGATATCTGTTGGAGTTCCTGTTTTCAGTGTTTTGAGTCTCATGTAGCAGTGGAATTGATGGTTCTCATGGTAATTCTGTGTTTACTTTTAGAGGAAGTGTCAAACTCTTCTCCACAGTGATTGCACCTTTTTACACTCCCACCAGCAAAGTAGAAAGGTTCCAAGCTCTCAGCATTCTCTTATCACTGCTTATTATTATTTTTTAATTGATAGCCACCCTGGTGTCTCATTCACATCCTGTATTAATTGTGAAATAGTGTTATCGGAGAAAAGTGTGGATGGTCTTTTTCTGTTGCTAGTAGGAGTGGGGCTCTTGGGGTACCGCTGGAATAAGCATTTCTGGAGGCCCCCGCGGGAAGATGGATGTGGTAGAAAGCTTTATTTTCTTGGATTACATCCTTGGGTTTCCAAAGTCTCATTTTTTTAATCCAGTCCTGGAAGATGTGCAGCTGGGGCTTCAATAGAGCTAGAAGCAAAGCTAGTGTCCAAAGTTTCTGTTCCNGCAAAGCCAGTGTCCAAAGTTTCTGTTCCATGGTGGAATTTGGTTCATCACAGCATCAGGCTGGTTGCAGTCCATTAGTCCATTGTGTGTGGGGTCCACATGGCCTTGAGCCATGTGGACCAATACAGGAGCCTGAGAACCCTGCAGGCCAGGAGCCAAGAGTGCAAGAGCACAAGAACAAACCAAGAGAAGGAACTACTGTTCAGGAGATTAAGTATCTCAAATCTTCCCATGCTTGCAGTGGCCATGCCTACTCTGGCCAATGACCTATTCCCGAGGGTGACAGACAAGTACCTTCCCTGTGTCACCCAGACTTTCCTGGGCATGCATCTCTTCTTCCCCTGACCAGTCCCTTCCCCCAGCAATGTTCAGGTAATAGATCAGTGGCCCCCTGAGGAATATTAAACTGCACCTTCCTGGCAAAGCTGTACAAATGACACGCCTATAATATTTGGCCTTCCTTTTGCTCCTTTCCAGTTATTAATAACTGGGTTAAATTACAATGGTATCAAAATAGTACCTCATTGTGGTTTGGATTTGCTTTGCCCTAATTACTAAGGATGTTGAACAACTTTTTATGTTCTTTTTTAAAATTTTATTTTTCAATTTCAGTTTACATTCAATATTACTTTATATTAGACAATTATATACTTTACAAAGTGATTCCCCCCCATATTTCAAGTGCCTACCTGGCACTATACATAGTTATTACAATATTATTGACTATATTTCCTATGCTATACTTTACATCTCTGTGACTGTTTTCTAAGTACCAATTAGTACATTTTAAACCCTTCACCTTTTTCACCCAGCCCCCCTCAACTCCCCTCCCCTCTGGCAGCCGTCAGTCTGTTCTCTGTATCTATGAGTCTGTTTCTATTCAACATTTCATAATCTTTTTATTTTATTGATTTTTAGAGAGAGGAAGGAAGAGAGAGAGAAAGAGATAGATATGAGAGAAACACCAATCGGTTGCCTTTTGCATGTGGGCCCCATCCGGGGATTGAACCCACAACCTGGGTATATGCCCTGACCAGGAATCAAACCCTCAACCTTTTGGTGTATGGGACGACACTCCAACCAACTGAGCCACACTGCCAGGGCTCAACTTTTCATATTCTTATTTGCTAGTTGTATATCATCTTATTCAAGTCCTTTTCCCATTTTTTAATTGGGTTATTTGTCATTTTGTTGTTCTTTATATATTCTGCACATTAAACCCTCCTCAGATATATGATTTGCAAATATTTTCTCCCATTCTTTAGACTGTCTTTTCAGTTTCTTTAATTTAGCCTTACTGTTGAAAGTATTACAGATGCCCTCTTTTCCCCACATTGACCCCCTCTGTCCCGGCCTTCACCACACTATTGTCTGTGTCCGTAGGTTATGCATGTAAGTTCTTTAGTTAATTTCTTCCTCCCTCTCTTCCCTTCCCTCTGAGATTCTTCAGTCTGTTCCATGCTTCCATGTCTCTGGATCTATTTTGTTCATCAGTTTACTTTGTTCATTAGATTCCACATATAAGTGAGATTGTGGGATACTTACCTTTCTCTGACTGGCTTATTTCGCTTAGCATAATACTCTCCAGGACCTCCCTTATGCCAGTACCACACTGTTTTGATTACTGCAGCTTTGTAGTAAGTTTCCAAACCAAGAAGTGTGAGTCCTGGGACTATTCTTTTTCAATTTGGCTAATTAGGGCATCTTGCAATTCCATATGAATTTGAAGACCAGCTTTTCCACTCTGCAAAAATGGCAGTTGGGATTTTAATAGGGATTGCATTGAATCTATAGATCACTTTGTATAGTTTCTTATAAAACTTAATAACAAAAAGAATGCATTTGATAGGACTAATTGTCTGTTTCTGACATTGGCACCAAGGGATATTTGTATGTGTGTGAGTATGTATGTCTGAATTTATATGGGTATTTTTTAAATAATTTTTTCAGATACGCTAAATATGGTTCTGTTTTTGATTTTCATAGAAACAGAATTTCAGAGCAGGGAAGGAGTTAAGTTACAGCCTAGTCTAACCTGATAATCTTACAAATGAGTAAAATTTGAATATGAGAATGGTCAGGTTGGTATGCTGGAGATCTCAATGAAACAGTGAAATATTGACTTTCCTGTTCTCTTCATCTTACATGACTTTTCCACTACAGAGTTTGGTACATTGTGTATCACCATTTGTAAAGAGGATTATCAACAGAACAAGAATATCCAGAGGAGTCACTAAAAATGTCTAATTAACTTGGAAAAAATTGCTTGATAAAATAGTTCTTTGGAAGAATTTTTTCTCACTTGTAAAATATTTTTCTCAAAGGTAGTTTATTAAAAATGGTTACTCAAGAGAGAGAGCAGGCAGACAACTCTGGTGGGGGTTGGTGCTGGGGAGATGGAAGGATTGAGCAAAGAAGAAAAAAAGAGCGAGAACGCCAGGACATGGACAACAGTGTAGTGATTGCGGGTTGAGGGAGAGGAGGTATGTGGAGGTGGAAGAGAGCATAGAGGGGATAGATGGTGATGGAAAAAAATTAATTAAAAAAAAAAGACCATGCTTGAGAAAATAAATTAAAAAAAAGGTTACTAAAATGTTGACTGGAGGGAAGATTTTTGGAGTAGTGAATGGGCAGGGATGGGAGGTGCAATCGTAGAGCAGGTCAGGATTACCTGGCTTGTCCAGGATTTTCTCTTCATGTCAGAGAGAATTAATCTACTCTGGTGTTAAGATGAGAGTTGTCACAGATAGGCCAAAGGTGCTATGTCTGAGTTCATTAGTTCGAAGTTTTCAGGAGGCATGGGCATTTAATATGCATATCTACTTAATCACTTTATAGCTAAGGAAAAAGAGTCTTAAGTTGAATACCTTTTACTTTAAACTTTTAGCATAAATTGATTTGCAACTTTAGAAAAGTAAATACTTTTTAGGGGAAAGAAATTTTAACCAAAGCCGCTTACGTTATAGAAGAGAATTACAAACACTCTTATACATTTTGGATTTTTCATAGTTTGCTTTGATTCAATTCCCGTCCATATCATAGTGTTCTGAAGCTTCTCTTAACTGGGAATGATTTAAAATAGCCAAAGACAGAAGGTATTCATACTGATTCTCCTTTACCTATGTTATTAATTTGAAAACATTGTGCTGGGATTTTCCAGAAAAATATATGTCTGAAATTTAACAGTTTGAATGATTCCTCGTTATTCTGTGTAAATAATGATTAAAGATAGTTCGTCTTTCTCCAATGTGTACTTCTTGTAGTTGTTTTTAGTTTTTATTTTTATTAATCTTGAGGGTTGGCTTAAATTCACAATTTATATTTTTAAAATCTTTTCTTTTTTCTTTTCTAGTTTTGGCAAGCGCTCTGCAGGAAGCTTTAGGCGTGGCTGTGAATGCATTGTTTTGGAGCCTTCTGAAATGATCGTGGTAAGAATACTCCTGTGAAGGCTTTTTTTTCCCCCTTAAGAAAAGTTATAAAATAAAAGCACTTTCACAAACTGCTTATAATAGTGTATTATATATTTTATAAATTTGGATATATTTATTTTATAACTTTTATTATAAATTTGAGTTTATAATCATTATAATTATTTATAGGATTCAATTAAATATAAAAGATAGAAAATTTAAAGAGGGCAAGTGCCTAAATGTTTCGTGCATGAACTTTGTAAATCAATCTATGATAATACCATGTAGTTGAAATTTGGGGGAGGATCTTTGAATTGCTGGTTGTTGCTCTCCAAATATTGATCGAAATAAATGAGATACTTAAAATGAGTCACAGCGATATGAGTTCAGGCAACAAGTAACCAGGAAATCACTTCAGTTTTTTTTAGCCAAAATAAAAATGGAGAACTAGTTTGCTGGTTAAACACTGTTGAGATCTTTATCTCTCGTAAACTGAATTGTGGGACTATATACATAAAAATGTTAAATTAAATATTAGCAAAATTTTTACAAGATTTTTTTATTGAATTTTGAAAAGAGAGGGAGGGAGAGAAAAACATCAGTGAGAGAGATACATCATGGATCAGCTGCTTCCTCTGTGCCCCCTACTAGGGATTGAGCCTGAAACCCCGGCATGTGCCCCGACTGGGAATCGAGCTAGTGATCTGAACCAGCAACCTTTTGGTGCGTGGGCCGATGCTCAACCGACTGAGCTAGGCTAGCCTGGGTAGCAAAATTTTTTTATGCTTTAAATAAAGCCTGTCACATTCTTCCTTAGTGTATAAAAGTAATTTTAAGATAAAATAATATGTATCCCTTTTTAAAAATCAGCAAAAAAATAAGACAAGCTGGGTGGAACTCCCAGTGTAGACCTTCAGTAGACATGATGTTCATATTATTACTCATCTAGCATCCTTTTACAAGGTTCCGCATTGTAAAATAAATGGTGGCTAATATAGTTAATGATGGAAGTTTTTAATTCCCATAATAAAGTATTTGTAGACTACCAGTCTATTTTTAGAGAAGATTACTAGGGTTTTCCCCCTATGATTCAGGAGAGGAATTCCATCAGAAATGAGAACTTCCTCACCAAAGCTAGTGAAAACTTTTGGTAAAATTTCACAAAATTTACTCAAGTGAGAAAGTGGCATGGTGGTAACTAAAGATTTAGGATTGAAAAATATGTAGGCAGATAAATAGAACCTTGCAGGCACAGGTATTTAAAAGATTTTAGATATTCCCTAGAGATTTGGGCCTCCGTAAGTGCTATTTTTGGGTTTCTCTGAAGGCTTTTTGATCTTAAACATTTTTTGAGAATTTTATACCTGCTGACATCATACAAACTACCAGGGTTGCCCATGTGAGAATCGTTTTAGCATCTGAATGTGTCTCTGTAGTGAGCAGTCACATTTCATTATCTCAATATGATAAGGATTACCTAATGTAATGTATTCTCTATTAGTCCATCCATCGGAGTTTCCGAAATGTTTAAAATGAGCAATTTTTTTTCTTTTCTTTTAAACAACACTATCTGTAAAAAAAAGAAACTGAATTCACAAATTGAAAGTAGGAAGAGAAACCTTTAGGGAGCCTACCAAAGCCATTTTTGTGGCAGTCCTACTTAAGTCATTTGGGATTTAGGGGTTTTTACAGATTTACTCATATCCATCAGCGTTTTTGTGCTTTCGTTGACAATGGGGCAGTTGCTTTCATAATGTGTGGTAATGTATCCTGTGGGTTCTTTCACTACTAGATCAGTACAAAGACTACTGAAAATATCCTTCCTTTTGAAAGTACAGGAAATTCAAGAGTTACCCATATTGTCCTAAGTGGAACTGAAAATGCCTCTTTGGAAAAGGAAAGTTACCCAAAACTGATTCGCTCCAGAGAAGTTCCAAAACACTTAAAAAGTCTGTTCAGATAGTTTGGCTACAAATGTCTTTGCAAAAATGAATGAATATGTACTATCTGTAAGTTTAATTCTGCATTTAATCTTGGTATGGAATGTCGGGTTTGAAGAAATGAAATGTTTTTTGGCTTTTTTTTTTCCTTCAGGTGGACTATATGGATGAAAATGAAGAATATTTTCAGCGTCAAGCTTCTCATCGACAGTCTCGAAGGAGATTTAGAAAAATTAACCAGAAAGGTGAAAGGCAAACAATTATTGACACCGTGGACCCTTATCCTGTGGGTAAACCACCGTTGCCTCGAGGCTACCACACGGTAAGTTATAAAAGCATGGTATATTTATTTATCTTTAGATTTTTGTTAGGAGCTTTGTGAAAAGACATTTAAATTTCTATTTTTGATGAATAATTCTATGATATACTTACCCAAATTGCAGATTTTGCTGGAAACACACATAATATGAATAGTTTTAAAGAGCACTGAAGTAAGATATCAAAAGACACCATTTAGCCTTTTTATTTTTTAAAATGTCCTCTGAAGATCAGCTTTGTGATCAGCATGTATAATTGTGACTGGAATATTTGAAGTTCTTAATCTAAAATTTTAGCCACCCCCACTCCCAATCCCAATGACTGGTATCGTATCTGCTTTTTATTCAAAAAGTGGCTAAATATAAAAATTACATATTAATTTCATACCATTTCTGAGATATTTTCTGAGAAGTTTTTTGTTTTAGCCAGGTGAAGTGAGATAAGCATAATTTGAAAGGATGCTTTTTAAAATCCCAGTGTAAAGATACCCTGAAGTATTTCTAATAGGTTCAAAGATCCTCTAAAATGCTTGATTGTCACTTATTCATAAATATTTGATAAGTAAACTATTTTTTATGTTTGAGGGAACCAAGACACAGACGAGTGATTGGTACTAAACCCCAATACAGGCAGTTATAGAGCCTTATCATTATTATTTCCCCTGAATGCCAATCCAAAGTAGTTGCAAATATACTTGAGGATTTCTGTGTGTTTTATTCCCCAAATATATCTTTATTGATTTCAGAGATGAAGGGAGAGAGAGAGATAGAAGCAACAATGATGAGAGAGTCATTGATCGGCTGCCTCCTGCACACCCCGGACTGGGGATCAAGCCCGCAACCTGGGCATGTGCCCTGACTGGGAATCGAACCGCGATCTCCTGGATCCCAGGTCGATGCTCAACCACTGAGCCACACCTGGCGGGGCAAGGATTTCTGTTTTCTAAAAGACAGTAGCTTGAATTCTTACATATGTCATAATATGGCCAAAGATATTTTATCTATACATGTAATGCCATTAAATGAGTAGTCATTATATGTGAAATTAATTTTAAAATAAAAATATGAGAGAAAAAAAAAGGTAGTTGACAAGTATGTTACCTTTCACATTCATTTTTCTAATCTACCTTTTTCTTTCTTTTTACAAATAAGTATAAACGTAGACGGCGTGGGGAAATGTGTATAGTCTTAAAATTATGTATTCAATTTTCAGTAACTTTAAGTGATATATTTTATACCCACACTTCATATGTTGTTTGTGAGAGCTCTTTGTATTTGAATATTTAAGAACTTTTGACCACCAGCTACCCGCCTGCTTCTCTCACTACCCATGCACTACTTTAACTTAGCATGAATTTTATAGTTGAATCCTTTCATTGAGCTCATTTGGAAAGGGTTGCTTTTTGCTCATCATAAAGACAGCTTTGTTTGTCTATTGGAGAGACTTAGTATATAAAAAAAAACTATGAAAGGTTTTTTGTTACCATTGTCTATAAAAGAAGGTAGTATTTTTAGTGTTGATGTAACATCATGGAAGAAGGAAATATAGATTAAAAATAGTTGTACATATTAATAGTATAATATATTCTAGGCACATACTAATATTAATAATATTCTTTTGGCTTTAGAATTATTTTTCCATATCAGATTCCATACTAAGATAGATAGTGGGAGTGTCAGCTAGTTAAAATTTTGTGTTAAACCTGATTGGTTTAATATTATGTTTGTCACACTTAATTTGGGGGAATTGTTTTATAACCATTTATCTCTCCCATCCTTGTGTGTTCATTCTTTATGGAATACTTCAATCACTTTCGCTATATCAGCCCTTTTTCATCTAATTTTTAAAAAATCTATAGTGGTTTTTGTTTTTTTAACAAGATTAATTTTTAAAGTGATTTTTAAAAATGTTTAAAATTCAGTACTTGGATGAAAAACTTAACTTGATTGCTAATGGATCAACGTGCTAGTTTACTAATATGTGACATGGTATTAATTTTACTAAATGAGTTCAGATTGGCAACAACATGGCTTCAGTTGAAAATATTGGATCCTATTTTTTTGTATGCAAGTTGTGGTTTAATTATTTACGTAATATTTATTTTTTTACCTAAATATATGATTTTAGCATAGAAGAACAATTTTGTATATTTGACACCACAGAATAAAAAAAATTAGATAAAAATAATTATTCATTAGTGCTAAGTCATATTACTTATTCGTAACAGAAATATTTCTCTCCGAAAGAACCCTGGTAGGGTGGGACTGCAGGTGAAAAGTGTATTTAAAGGGTGCATGATCGTACTTCACAGGTGATTTTCAATGATTGCAAGTGCATTTCAAGTGCATGGCTGAAGGACATAGAAGACATTATACATATAGCCAATTCTGTATGGTCATTCTTAACCTAATTTTAACATTATCTTCATTTTGGCAGATGTACTATAGCATGTCTGATAATGTTCATCTTTTCCTTTCCTCCTTTATGGCACTCATTTCATTTTGGCTCAAAGGAATGCACTAAATCTCAGGTATTGTAATTTGTGTGTGGTCTCCTAATACTAACCTAATTTTATTTGTAAATTTGCATTGTAACTAATGAGTATAATATCAATATGTGTTGCTTAGTCCTGTTCTTTTGTATTTTGCCCTGAATTAGTACAGTCTCTTAGAAATCTGAAACTGTCAGTGGCTTAGGCGAAGGCACAGGCTGCTTTATTGTGCAGGTCTAGGGATGAATTGCCCACCTTCTTTGAAGAAACAATAAAAGTGCAACCTACTTATTTTTAAGAATGAGTGGAGCACTGGTGTTCACTAACCTGCTCTACAAATAAAGAAGAGAGAAAGACAGACAGACATCATGGAGGTTTAATTGCTTTTTGTATGAAAGTGTATGGAAAATTTCCATTAGAAGCTTTCATTTCAAATGCTATAAATGAAAGCTTTAAATTTCAGGAATCTCAGTATGAGAGCATTTTGAGAGACCACTGGTAAAGTTATAGTCAGATAGAATAAAGGCTTAGTCAAAAAGGAAATAAGAATTTAAAATTGCTTGTATTTTCTTATTTGCGCTTTATTTTTAACCAGATTTCATGCTTTTATTTCATTCTATATTTTAATCAAGTGGCCTATAATAATACCTTTGCTCATTTCTTTCATGCCAGTACATGACTAATTTTTGATTTTCAATGATATTCTTTTGAAATTGTGGTTCAAATCTGGGTTTATCAGGGAATTTGGATTCAAGGAGTTAAAAATGATTTATCTCTGGAAACTGATTGATTAAGTAACAAGTAAAATTTTGTGGTTGTGGTTTATTTAATACACGGGAAAAAGATTGGGAATAATTTAATTCACATTAGAAGTCTATCATCAATATAGTGTCTTTGGCTGTTTTAATAACCTTGCCTGATAGCATGAAATATTTATATAATTTTTCAAGTTAAAATGAAGCGGTTACTTTATGTTCTATACCCAAAAAACCCCACACATATTAAAATGCCACAGATGGCATGATTGCTATATTGTATTTTAGAAGCACTGCTAATTTTAAAGTGATGTGATAAATCCAAAAAAATTTGATACAGTTTTTAAGTTTTGTATCAAAAATTTTTAAATTGCACCAGTGTTTTGAGCTTTTACCTGGTAGAGGTATACTTTAAAAATATACAATAATATTTTAAGATACACCAATGTGTGATTAATCTTTTTAAGGTGAAAAATTAGCAGTTAGCCTAATTCCTATTTAGAACTAGGAATTGAATTTAGAATGTTGCGCTGAATTTTGATATATACCTTATGTACACTTTTAAAAATTAGGCATGTTGCAGTAATTTAAAACAGATTATAATAATTTTCTTCAGAAACATGAATACCCATTTAGTCCCTGTAGATTGTTATCAGGACATTTTTTTCAAGGCAAGTGTGTGAGGTTTGCTGAGAGAATAAATATTTTAAAATGCAGTGAGAAGAGAAGATTAGAGGCTTTCATTAGCATTTCCTTACATTTTTATTATATTCGTAACTGAATTTTGGCCATAATGTGGTCATAGTTGAAAATTTTGGATCCTGTAGTTTTTTTGAAGGTATATTTGAGACTGAATTTAAGACAGCCGGAAAATAGGATATAGCAGGAATTGCTAGTCTTGGAGCGGGTAAGGATTGTAGAGGCAGGTAGTAGGTAGGTTCCTGGCAGAGGCTGGAAGATTTGGAGATTGACTTGGGGGCTTTGGACAGGTTGACCTTGTCTCCAGGTTCAGAATAGGTATGAGGGTAGATTTTTAAATTTTTACCCCTAATTACTGGCCCTCTCTACATTCATGGGTAATTTATTCTAGAAGTTTCTGTAGGTAGGGAATTCTGAGTTCCACAATAAAATTGGACGGGCGAGGTAGTAGGACTTAAGGGGAGGAAGGACTGGAGTGATGGGGAAGCCAGTACATACCTGTTCTGTGATCTTTTTTATTTTTCCTTTATTGTAATGAAAAAATAGCTCTCCCCTCTTCTGAGTTTGGAAAGAGCAAAAATGATACAGTGATATTAGACTGAAGGCTGAAGAAAATTTGTCCTGGCTGCACTATGGAGGTTATGGGTATTAATGGACATTTCAAAAAATTTCAGCCTTTTTATACTGGTTGCATAATTAAAATGCTCTTCACACCTTGATTGACTTCACTCCCACTCCTACTTGCCCAGAAAAGTATGGCTCTGCTTTATACAAATTTGAACTGGGAAGATTTGAACACAGTATAACAAAATTTCAGTCAATGCAGAATTTTTGAAATAATGACAAACCATCGGTCCATCATATAATAAGATATGTCCCACACATTTTATTAGTCGTCCTTTACTACAATGTGAATATATACTTCAGAGCACTGTTTAATAATTAGGTAACAAATTTTCCAGTAGATGAGGCTAGTTTAAAGTACTTGGTGCAGGTGTACAAAAGTAATAATAAAATTAATATAATGTAAATTGAATTAAATGTAATATTACAACGCTATTGGAATCATTTTTTATTATAGTCTGTGGTAATATAGTATCTATAAAATGTGGCACACGTGTGATATGATTTATTCTTCTGAGGCTTATGAAAATAAGTCCCAGTTTTTATAAGGTTATTCTTTATAATAATATGACAAGTTCTTTTTCTTATAATGTTATATAGTTATTCCTAGATTATATCTCATATATCTTTGAAATAGATTTTTAAAATTTTTTTAAAGATAGATTTGATTTAAGTTGGTTTCATCTTCAGTTAAGGATTTTTGGTAGGTTTGGTTAGTTTCAAAAATTGTTTAGTCATTGAAACAAATGAAAAAATTACAATGTTTGTAATTATACACTTTTATTTGACATTAAACTTTCCGACTTTTGCTATTTTTCTTGAATTAGAAATAGGTAATAATTTTACTCATATCATGACTTTGCTTTTCCACTTATTATTTTTTAAATTTTTTAAAATATGTCTTTATTGATTTCAGAGAGAGGAAGGGAGAGAGAGAGACACACATCAATGATAAGAGAGTCAGTGATTGGCTGCCTCCTGCACAGCCCCCACTTGGGATCGAGTTCGCAACCCGAACATGTGCCCTGACCGGGAATGGAACCCAGATCTCCTGGATCCTAGGTCGATGCTCAGCTTCTGAGACATGCCTGGCTGGGCTGCCACTTATTACTTATTTAGTTTTTTACTGAGGTCTTAGTTCAGTCTGATATTTGCTACTTACCAGAAAGAGAATGTGTTTTGCATAATATATCAGTGACTTGTATATCTACTAAATTTCTTGAACATTAAGGTCATAGAATTTTAATTTATAACAATCAATTTATATCATATTCCACCTAATTCATTCATATGATATTTTAAAACTGGCTTATATGTATATACAATAATTATTCAAATATAGGGACAGTCTATTAATCAGTACTTTCATTCTTTAATTTAAATTCATCAATTTCTTAATTGAACCTAAACCTTTGTCTTAAATATTGTCATCGATGCCTGTTTGTGAATTACAATAGGATGGAGTTAAAGAAAATGTGTGTATTCCATTTATTATAGAGAAGAAAGCTCAGTTAGCATTTTCATTTACATGTTTTTATTCAATTAACAAATATTTACTGAGTACCCACCTTGTTTCATGTCTGTGCAAGACTCTTGGGCTACAAAGGTTTATAGCACAGAGAGAATCTTGCTCTGAGTGACCTTATAACCTCACAGGGAATACAGAAAAGTATAATATAGAGAACTATATTAGAAAACACAGGGAAATCCAGGTACTAAGGGGCACATAGACAGGGCACCTTGAGGAATCAGGCATGGCTTAAATGGCTTTAATATTTCGGCTGAAAGAAAAATATTTTTTAATCCAAAAAGTCCAATAGAAATGTGAAGACTGAATCAGGGAATAAAGAATAGAAAAGGGGTGTGTGTACAGATAGTGTTAGAGAGGAGTCACATATCCCCCCCAAATCACAAATTTTGCTAGATACTATTTATTGTATTCATGCTTGCTGTTTTATATTTGCATCAGAGAGTGTTTTTAAAGAGGAGTGCCAAAAGTATCCTTTGCTTTTTCATGCTCGTTATCAGCAGGTTTACTGATTCTTCTCCACTTAGATCATGTTGCATTTTAAAATCCTGCAGATAGCTCCCTGTGGAAACGTCTTTGAACAATAGGTGGACATAACAATACTGGGCCATATGTGCTGCAATTTCTGGCAAAATGCAGCGTGTTAACTAACACTGCTGCCGTGGTCTCCACCTCCTTGCTTTGGAGGGGGGGATGTTTCTCTTTCTTGCAGTTATAATCAGGTATTTATGCTGATTTAACTTACACAGACTGGGAAATTACAATATAGAGGATGTATAGAAATCAGAATGTAAATCAGGCAACAGTTTAAAACATAAAATGATTTCTCTCGCTCTATTAACAACACGCATTGCAAATTCATGCAGGGCAGTTGAGAATAGTATGCACTGTGCTGTTTACCCAAGTTTCAGCTTCTGTTAGAGGGTGTCTATTTTTATATATTACATCATCTCTGCTGCAGAACTGCCGTGTCTACTGGGATTTACTGTTCTTTCATTCCATGTTGAAAGAAAGCTTGTATTGATGTCATAATTGGACCCATCTTTTGGTTGCACTTGGAAATTGAAAGTAATAAGGGTGGGTGTTGTGTAGCAAGTCATGCAATATTTCAAGCAATTTATTTGTCAAAAAGATCACTGCCACTTTGTCCTGCCTCTAATTGTGAACACTGGTGGCTCTCTGTGGCTGTATGTGGTGTAAATGTACTTGGCTAAAATGTAGCAAAGATCCTTTTCATCTTCGACTGTCTTATTTCTTATATGAATTTTTATTTTTTATTTTTTTGGTCATGAGATTTTGCAGTGCTCCATGCTGATTTGAAAAATATCTTTTTACTTTGGAAAAATTCACTTTGATGTTGAGAACTACATCCTACCATCACTGAATTGATCTTTTTATGATTAAGTTATCAGTTGTAAGTTGTCTGTTTCCAC